TTGAGATATATTTTTGTCAATATCACACACCCCTAATATATTTAATATTTTGATTAGGAAAAAAAATACAAATAAATATGAGAAGTGCCCTTTTTTCCACTTGAGCCCCTGCCCCTCAAAATGTCTGTGCATGGCCCTGGATGCCTTGGCTAGTCAGGTGGCTTCAATTAAACAGAAAATTGAGAGGCCACACAGCATTTGACCACTTGATTTACAAAAATCATTTCAATTTTATGAAGTTTTTTCTCAGCATTTCAACACTGCATCAAATACTGATGAACTCATAAATTTTAATTAGAATTATCACTTAGTGTGTTATTTAATCATGTATTACTGTCTTTGGAAGACTTTTGTCTTTAAATAAAATGCACAAATTCACGTTATTCTTTATTTACATGTAATGCAGGGATTGACAAACTTTTTTTTTTTGGCAGCCAAACCACTTTCACCTAATATATTTACTTGATGTACCCCTGAGATTTTAAGGCAATAAGTTAATAATTAAGACATTTGCATGTTCACGGTTCTCTGTTGGTTAATGGTCACATGACATGCAGTTGAACAAATAAAATATTTCAATTTTTTAGAAAGTGTTTTATTTTGATGGAAGTTATTTTAAAATGATTTATTTGAATGTGACATTTTTATGATTTAATTAAGTATTAGTTTTTCAATAAACTCTCGAGCCCCCTGCAGTTCCTTTATAGGAATCCCAGTTTGGGAAACGTTGACGCAATGTTTAATGCACTTTAAGTTGTTAATAACAACAAATGGAATATATTTTATTTTTTCTTTGTAATTTTATAAATCGTTATGGTACACGATTATACTATTTAAATCAATGTGATAAGCGAGTTAGGTCAAAAGAAATCTAAAAGTAATCAAAAAGTAGTCTGGTTATATTACCTAAAATGTGTAATGTAATGGATTACATTACTAACAGTGTTGGGTAAGTTACTCAAAAAAAGGTAATAGATTACAAATTACTGATTACTAATTGAAAATTGTAATTTGGTTACATTACTAATTACTGCATGAAAAAAGTAATCAGATTACTACTTTACTTTCTTTCAAGTTACTTTGAAAACATATCAAAACTAAAAAAAAAAAAATGTACTACAAAAGTGAGAATTGTAGTTCTTTCAGTAATTTAATATTGACTGAAAAATATTACAAAGGTATGAAAACAGCAACTTGACTTAAAGATCTAATCCCTTTCTAAAACTTAACATTCTTAGTATAAACCTGCCTAACAATGAAAAATGTTTATATACAACATTGCTTGCTGAGTGTAGGGTATATGTGTATGCTGGCTTAACTGTTTAACTGTGTGAGCATTAAAGACAGAAAAAAAACTTAATAAATTTAAAACGGTTCGGATAACATTTGAAAACAGTATTGATGAACATACAGTTCATATTTGAATGCAAAAAAATGGATCTTGCTTTACGGAGGTGATGTGGGCGTTTACGGGCTTGCGCGTCTCACGTGGATGATTACCGTAAGAATAGCGCGCGCTGCGAGTGGGCGTGATCACATTACAGATAATGAGCTCAGACGGGAAAGACTGGACCTCGCGTTGGTTTCATACGGATTTCATACGGAGAGAACATTTGTTTTAGATAAGACTTGCTTCATTTAAAAGCAGACACATCAAGTTTTCCATAGATATGTTTCTCATGTCTGTGTGTGAAGTATTCGTTGAGTTTTGGTTCATTTTAGTGAGCATTTCAGAAAGTAGTTAGCGGAGACTGAGACAGCTGAAAGCCACCCTATATTTTCTTTATTTTACAAAAAGCACAATTTTTGTTGATATTGTGAGTGTACACAAATAAAAGTAGATCCCTTAACACATTCAAATGATGTAGTACACTTATATGTACGGTCAAAAATGGCAGAGCATTTTAAGTTCTTTCGCTGTTATCAGGAAAAAATGCAAGTGATCGTGCCGGTGCCTCCATCGCAGGGGGTTAACTGACACTGCTGCGCAAAATGTATTTTAAAAGGCTTTTTTTTTTTCTTTCTTAAAGCACAGAGAATGACAATACCGAGGGGGTTTTTTTAACATAATTTTATGTGTATGAAATCTCAAACGCAAGGAGACGTGAAAGAGGAATCAACTCGGTATTCTCTCGCTGTCTGAAACACATCTCTGTGCGTTTGCGTGCTTCGGGTGTGTGCGGCTGCTGTGCACACTGAAAACACCACGTGAGTAACGAATCGAGTTCTCTTTCGCTTCTTCTTGTGGTTTAAAATCGTTTGAACGTGTAAATTGGCAAATTAATCTGCGAATCACATTCGTGCCGAACTGTGGGGCCTGGTCCGTAGGCTACGTATCACGGATAAACTGCGATCCATTTTAACCTCTAATAGTATATATATATGACAGATCAGAACAATCATTCATTTACTAATTGAACATTTATTTTACATGAAACAAATTGCTACTCCATAGCAATCGCATGCAACAAACAAAAATACAGAATAATTAGAACAATCATTAATGCACAATAAATAATAGATTGTCATACCTATACACATTTTCCCCAGAACGTTTCTGCGACCCGGTATAGCAACTCTTCCACGGCCCGGAACTGGGTTGCGACCCGGTTGTTGGGGACCTCTGTAATACTGTATTCTAATGACTTTTTCTGGTAATGCAGTAATGTAACGCATTACATTTTAAATTTGTGTAATTTGATTATCGTTACTTAAGTCAATATAATTATGTTACTGACATTACAAATGTAGTGTTAAAAAAAAAAATTTCTTGCTTATCTGAAAAGTCATCCATGACTCAAAAACCACAATATGATCCGTTATGCTTATATATATATATATATAAACCCCACCCCCTCCAGCCGGTCCACGGAAAAAGGTCGGAGACCCCTGGTTTACATTATGCATTCGGCATTAATAAAACATAATGCCTTCACTTCAAATATATGTATTTTATTATATCTCACTTGAGTGAATGCAGACAACGTAATTAATAGTCATGAGTCAATAGTCAACAGCTTTTTAGACCATATTGCGTTTCATAATATTATCAGTAGAAGAATTAATAGTAGTATTTTTTATTATTATTATTATTGCTAGATTTTTATTACAGAAACACTGAATTATCAATAATGTGTCACACATCACTTCCATATAAAAATAAATGCTTGATTGACTGAAGTTTTGTTATGCTTTCAACTGTATTGCAACACTTTGTATATATTTGTATATACTATTTTGCATATTGCTCAAAAACATTTTGCATAATGTTAGATAACATTATTTTATATATTTAACTGCTAAATATTGTTGCGTAATTAATATTGTGTTCATATATTATACATACTATTTTGTATCATTTCATATTTTGTTGCAATTTGTTTTACATATTTTATTTTATAATACTATTTTATATATTGCTACATAAAATGCAGCACAGTAATCAAATTGATCTGTTCACATAATGAATCAAACTTCCCAATAATAGAGACTTCATGTGATGTCATGCTGACATGTGTCAGAATACTTTCGTAACAGTGAGGAGTTTTCAGAGCCACACGCTGCCCCTGCTGGTAGATTACATTTACATTTAGTCATTTAGCAGACGCTTTTATCCACAGCGATTTACAAATGAGGACAATGGAAGCAATCAAAATCAACAAAAGAGCAATGATATACAAGTGCTATAACAAGTCTCAGTTAGCTTAACGCAGTACACATAGCAAGGTTTTTTTTTAAATAATATAATAAATAAAAAAAACGATAGAATAGAAAAAGAATAGAGCAAGCTAGTGTTAGAGGTATTTTTTGGAGATTAGGCCTAATCTTTTTTACATTTTTTTCCTTATCTCTTTAACCCAGTTTTCCTAGTTGTAATGCTGCATGCGCAATACCATATAACATAGGTCTTCACCCCTGTTCCTGGGGACCCACTGTCCTGCAGAGTTCATCTCCAACCCTAATCAAACACACCTGAATCAGCTAATCAAGGTCTTCAAGATCACTTGAAAAGTCACAGGCCAGGTGTGCTGAAGCAGGTTGGAAATAAACTATGCAGGACAGTGGGTCCCCAGGAACAGGGTTGAAGACCTATGCCATATAACAAAAATGTGATTGTTATGCTAAACCACATTGGAATTCGAGGTTTCAATCAGACCAGAACAAAAAATAACTCTTTCATGTGTTGGGAGTGGATCTACATTACAAGGACAGTACAAAATCACCTGTCAATCAAATGGAGAATGGGACGTCCCATTCCCGAAATGTATTGGTAAGGTTTACTTAGTCGAGTTTTATTAGCAGTGTCTGCAAGCATCACTATTGCTCATTTTAAAGTAGATGCTAAAGTTTGGTACAAAACTCATCAGCACACAAGTTTCTCTTCACTTGAGCCAAGAAGCAAACCACTAGCAACCCCCCAGAACAGCCTAGCAACAGCACAAAACAACCTATAAACTAGCACCGAGGGGACAAGTTTGCATCGATAAACAAACACGACTCAAATTTTCTAATTTCTGAATTTAATTTGTATCTATTATAACATATTACATTATATCACATGTGTATGTCATATCATATAATATATTTTGAATATCTCTTCAACATATTGTGTCTTACTTAAACATTTTATTCAGATTACCTCATTCTCAAATATGTAATGTGTATTAAATATATAACATGTTCTATGCTTTAGGTCAGACCACCAGTTGTGGACCACCACCAGACGTGAACTTTGCAGATACAATAGAATTGAAAAAAGAGGAATACAAAACAAGGGAGACAGCTGAATACAGCTGCTTTAGTAAATACACTTTGGATCTGCGTCCACCTTTCTCCAGATACTTGACCTGTGAGCAAGGAGAATGGAGAGGGAATATTAGGTGTTTAAGTAAGTATGAACACGCTTCACCATATATATCATATAAACACATCATGATGTAGTCTTGTAGTTTAAGTTGTAGGTTGTGATGATTAGTTAATGAATGTATATTGTGACACTGATAGTGACATGCTGGGTTTATTTCAGAGCCCTGTACAGTGACGGTAGAGGAAATGGAAAGAAGAGGTATAGAGTTGGCCTATGCTAATCGACAAAAGATGTTCGCACCACATGATGATCACATCACCTTTATGTGTCAGAGGGACAAAGTTTCAAGAGGTGTTCCCCTAAGACAACAGTGTAATGATGGAGTGATGACTTTACCTGAGTGTGTGAGACAGTGAGAGTAAAACATTGTTGAAGCAACAAAAATAAATGTAGCAAATAAAAAAATATTGTTCCCAATTCAATTTCTAGATTTTGGATTTATTGCAAGTAAAACTAAAGAAATGCTAAAAGCAACATTTAAAATGTGCATGTTAAAAACTACATTAAACCATTTAATGCCAGCTAAGTGATATGTACAATATGTATTAAATAAAATAATAATAAAAATAAAAAGTAGCAAAATCTCTGTAAGACCAAAGACAAAGTTGCAAATTATATATATTATATATTAATAATATATTAAATATATCGTGCTGATATCGCGTTTGGTCTTGTTCTGTATCGAGTATCTTGTCAGTGTCTGCGCTTGCTTGGCCATTTGTTGCGCAGAAAATAAGGAAAGTGTGTCCAGCTGAATTAATTTAGTATTTTGTTAGACGGGTATAAAAAAGCTTAGTTTACCGCAACAGCGGTCGCGGCAGCCGTCGCGTGATGGCCTCCTCGTGTGAAGACTGAAGAGTGTAAAGACTATCAACTCTACCGTGCGACTCTACCGGGCAGGGACACCGGCAAAGGATAAGTATCGCTTTTTATTTCTCCTTTTTCCTATTACTTATTTCGCTTCTGTAATGTTTTAAAGTTTGAAGGCAGAAATATGTAAATATGTTAATCAATTCCTACTTCGTTCGCTTCTGTTTCAGTTTTTATAACCATTTCTTACTAGGTGTCAGTTGTTGTTTTTTAGCATGTGTGTTTGGCAGTGTTATTTTTTAGGATTACTGATAAACTACTGTCATTTGATTTGTATTATTTGTATTTGTTATTTATTTTAATTTTAGTTACATTATGTCTTGAATTTATTACGTCTGTATAGGTCTTATGTCTGTATACTGCTTTTATTAAGTTTTTAGTTTTATTTAATTTGAGTTATTTTATTTTACTTCAACAAAATAAATGGAAATGAAATAATATATTGAATTTATAAATGTGTGTATATATATATAAGGAAAAAAAATTAACTTAAATGATTTTAGCAAATGGCTGCAATATAACAAAGAGTGAAAAATTGAAGGGGGTCTGAATACTTTCCGTACCCACTGTATTGTATGTATATGTATGCGTGTGTGGTTGTACATACACATGTAGTTGTTTTTTTGGTGTTTGGCTTAGTGTTATGTTAGAATCATTATTATACTCTTATACCTTTTGTTCTTTAATATTTTTAATAGTTTTTAGCTTTATTTTTTGTTTTTCATTTAAATTTTAAGTTTTGAAATTGTATGCATTTGTCATTTTTATTTAATCTCTTTATTTTTAAAAGGTGTATAGGTAGTATTTATACAGTTTTAGCTTTTAGTTTGGATCTGTTTTAATACTAAAATTGATTGTTTCTGTTGTCCTCATTTGTAAGTCGCTTTGGATAAAAGCGTCTAATAAATTACTAAATAAATAAAAAATAAATAAATTAAATTAAATTAAATTAAATAATATATATATGTATATCATTTATTTTATTTTTTTTACCTTTGTGATAATGAAATGATGCTCTTAGTTTCCCACCGATTACAAATTTGACCACTACATGCTTTTATGTATTATGATCATGATTCATATGAAAGAGCAATAATACATAAATAATTGATCTTTTAATATCTATATACATTAAACTGTATTGACACATTTTCTATGCATCCTTTATGGAGATTTGACACAGTCATCATCTTTTAAAAAGACAAACTGGAATGCCAGCCATGCCATATGAAATGTTCTGCACTTTCAGAGATGACAATCTATGTAAAATACATCAACTCTTTTTAGGCTCTTCAAAAAAAAAAAGGATAATATTACACAAACATGACCAAAGTTACAGTTCTGTTCTGATGAAGCCCAGAAAATCACTGAGCCATTTGGTATTCAGACTGAGTATTTAGATTAAAGACAGCAAATTGAATTGCAACATGAATTTGTGAGGAAGAAAGCTGTCGAGTTTTTATCAAATCATTGTGGGGTGGAGCAGAGTCCTGTTTGGTGGGACAGAGGGAAGGAGACGGTTGCTTTCAGCAACATTACACAGACTTCAAAGATTCAGATCACCACTGCTCTTGAGACTGATCATGAATACATCTTTTGGAAAACAGGTAATCTGAGGTTTTCATTGGTACTAATTTATGTTTAATACTACAGAAATCTTTGCATTGATTTGTGTTAAATAAGGATAAATCAGCCTTTAATGACTAAATATTTGGTAGGTGATTCAGTCGTTTTAAACATCCAATATACTGCACAATAAATAATAATACCATGTTTGCATATCATGTTTATTTATAATAAACATGACAAACATACAAAAAAAGAAGGAGAATCAATGTGGGGTCACACATTACGCAACAGTCCACTTGGAAGAATCCCTGACAACTGTGTTTCAATTACAAAACACACGCACGAGAAGTGATACAGGGCATGATGTAAGACTCCTCCCCCCTCGCCTTCTATCGTGTTCTCTGATTGGCTGTAGGCTACCGCCGATGTCATTTAAACAAAATGTCTTTCAGGTCAAAGTTCTTGAAGTGTGTTCTTAAAATGGTCTAGGGCATTATTGTCTTGTATAAGCGCTTGGAACTCCCTTGGTGAAGGGAATGACTGACCAGTGACTGAACAAATGTTACCTTGACAACACTGCGTGTGTGTGCAGCATTCAGTATTCCATGAGTTGTTGCAAATAAATATTTCTTCTTATTATTATTTTATTCAAAGGTTGTCTAATTGTGTCTTATTTACTATTGAACTTTTTCAAACTAAACTTGCATAAACTTGCTCACACTACCTCTTAACCGTCTTAAAATCATATTTCTATCTCTGATGAAAAATATTTTGTATTACATTAAAGGGGAGGTTGATTGCGATTTCACTTTTTTAACGTTAGTTAGTGTGTAATGTTGCTGTTTGAGCTTAAAAGCCGTGCTTGCACAGGTTCTGCACGATCCTCTTCAATAATATCCTCTGCTTTTCAATCGGGCTCAAACTGATAAGCGCTATTAACGATGCCGTTGTTTACAATACAACCAGACGGAGCACATGCCACTGAGGTGAGGGGCGGGACGTTTAGACACACACTAGAGGCGGTTTGCCAATCACAACACACTGGGCTAGTTAACCAATCAGAGCCCATCACCTATTTCTGAGGGCGGGGCTTCATAAAAGCAGGACATGATCAGCGCGTTTCTCAGAGAAGGGACAGAGCGGTGTGGAATAAAGGGAAATTATGTGAAAAATTTGTTTGTTTTTTTTAAGCGAAGCATTAACACATGTTAGACTGCACCCCATAAACACAATCAAGCCTAGAAAAAAAACAGTGAACCACCCCTTTAAAATAAAGACAAATTTACTTATTCTACTTTGTATGTGAAGTGAAAATCAACCTCAACTTTGCTTTAAAATGCGTCGCAAAAACTCGTAACCGAAGATCACATGATCACAACGTGACCATCGCATGTTCCCTTCGCTAACGGACTTCTGGAAATGCCCTTCGTTAAGGGATCGTTAAACTTTCATTTGGAACATCCTTACAAATGGCGTCCCCTTCCTGAAGTGCCCTTCAAGGGTGTAAAAAGCTGTTTGGAATTCTGTCAAAATGATGTCACTGCGGTCACAGGCATGAATATATGAGTGAAAGATACATCGATCCGTTACTGCGGGAAGTAGGGGTGCTGAGGGTGCTGCAGCACCCCCTAACGTGTAGCCCAAGAAGGGGGCTGGGGGTGCGGTGTTAGAATAAATAAATGAATTTTGTAACAAAAAAATAAATAAAACAATATTCATTATAATTAATAGAAAAAAAGAAGCCTAAGCCTACAATGACCATACGCAACAGTAAAACATGAATTACGTTTAATCAAGTTGATTGTGAAAGTCGTTTCAACTTAAACTGACTTAGGAAGTCATTTGTTGCCATGACTTTTTGATCATATTATTACCTGTAACATGTCTGTGCCATGCCTAAATCAAGAATTAACGACC